GGGGGGGGGGGGGGTCTTTACCACTAGGGGGCGCGCCTCGGCCCGCACCTCTGTGCAGGGGTGGACCAGCCTCCTCCCCAGGTGGTGCCTCCCACCTCCGGGGCGGCCGGGGGCGTGGGGTCCGGGAAGGGCCTGTTGAAAGCCTGTGGGCACCCGCGGCGGGAGGGCGGGACGAGGCGGGTGGCACCGCGGGGCGTGTGCGTACCGAGGCGCAGCAAATGCGTCCCGGCCAGGACAGCCCGGCCACCCGAGGCTCCTGCGGAGCGTGCCCACCTGGCGAGCACATCTGGGAACAGCCAAACCGTGCGCGGTTTCCGCTCCCTGCGGCTCTTGCCTGCGCCCTGGCCCTCGGAGGGTGGCCCGCAGCGGAGGAACTCGGGCTTTCTCTGCTTCATGTGGCTTGATGTAATGTCAGCACACCAAGAATAGAAGACACCTCCCTGCCCTCATGAAATTCACGGCCAGGGTTGGAAGGGCCGGAACAGACTCCTGCAATAGAAACCAGATGACGATGTTGCCGTAGTATAGGTTTGGAGAGCGCAGAGAAGGGAGCAAATAATTCCAGCAGGTAGGAATTCAGAAGCCTTCCAGGAGGAAAGAAATCATTTGCGATTTGGGCTCGCAGCAGCAGGAAGAATTGGACAGGTGAAGTAAAGGCAGAAGAGCATGCCTGCCAGGGGAACTGTATGTGACGGGCAAGCGTCCAGTCTGCACCACGACCCCACTTTCCACCTTCCTGACCAAGCCGGGACACCCTGGCATCTTCTTCCCCCATCCTGGGCCTCCTTGCTTAATCCACCTGTGTATGTTCAGCCCTTTGCTCCCGCCATCCCTCCCCCTCCGCACTCTCTCTCTCTCAGTGCCTTTACTGGGACCCTAAATCACCACCATGACTTCCCCATCCTTCTGTGCATCTGCGCCCCCGCCCCAGGATGCGGTGTGGTTTGCTTTCTTCCCCACTCCCCTCCAAACCCCTACCTATCCTGTACAGCCACCATGGTGGCAAGTTCAACCTATGGTGCTAGACTGAATAAGCAGGGGTCAGCTTGCAGGAGGAGGGGGCTCGAGGATAGGAGTTCATGACAGCTGGAGAGGTAAGCAGGGGCCAGATTGCATAGGACCATGTATGCCAACCTACGTGGCTTGCCATTTATCCTCAGGGCAGTGGGAATCAGAGAGAGCCGTAAATCTGGGAGAGTGTATGGTAAGATATACAGTATTATGGAGTGGAGGGAGCAGGAGGAGGCTATCGCAATAGTCACAGTGAGAGGGTGTAGGCCTGACCTGGGACAATGGCAGATGGGGTGGACAGGAGGACAGTCAAGCAGTGGTTCTCAACTGGGGACAATTCTGCCCCCAGGAAACATTTAACATTGTCTGGAGACATGTTTGGTTCACAGCTGGGGGAATGCTACTGGCATCCAGTGGTTGAGGCAAGGGATGCTGCTAAACATCCTACAATGTACAGGACAGAACCCCCCGGCCCCACGCAAAAAGATTATCTGGCCTAAAATGTCAGTAGTGCTGAGGCTGAGAAGCCCTGCACTAGAGAAAAACCAAAAGAACACCTGTTGGGTGGGGGGACACAGGTGTCTCTCAGCCTGAACTCTTGGAGCCACGCCGCCTGGGTCTGTTTGAAGCCTGGCTTTTCTGTATATTAGCCGTGTGACAACCTTGGGCAAATCACTTAACCTCTCTGGATGTCAGTTTCCTCACCTTTAATAAAGGTCACTGGGAGGATTAGGTGGTTTAATGCATGTTCAGTGCCTAGAAAAGTGACACATACTAAGCATTATGTAACATGAACTATTGTTATTTTAAAACACAAATTCTCTGTCCAAAGCCCTGCTCTGGCTCCCCATCATCAAAATCCATGTGGCTCTCCCTATGTCTTTGACCCCATCTCCTGTTGCTCTCCTTCTGGCTCTGTGTGCTTTGTCTACACTGGTTTCTCTGCTGTTCCATAAACACACTCAGCTCACTCTTGCCTCAGGGCCTTTGCATTTGCTGTTTCCTCTGCCTTGAAAGCTCTGCCTCTAGGAATCTATGGGACCCACTACCTCACTTCCTTGAGGTCTCTGCTCAGCTGTCACCTTCTCAGGGGCTTTTCTTAACCACCTAATGTAAAAACAAACAAAAAAAAATCTGTTCCCCTGCTTTATTTATTTATTTAAAAAAATTTTTTTTTCCTTTTTGTCTTTTTTACTGACCGGCAACGGGATCGCAACCCTCGGTGTTGCGCCCGCACCGCGCTCAGCCAGTGAATGGGAACCAGTCTCCACATGGGATCCAAACCCTCGGCGGGAGCGCCGCCACGCTCCCAAGCGGCGCACTCTCCAGTGCGCCACCGGGCCGGCCCTAAAAAATTTTTTTTGTGGCTGGTCAGTAAGGGGATCCAAACCCGTGACCTTGTGATTATAAGGCTGCACTCTAACCAACTACACTAATAGGCCAACCCTTTATTTTTATTTTTATATTTTATTTTGCCATGCTTTATATTTCCGTAGGTCATTTTCATCATCTAACATATTGTATGTATATTTAATTTATTTGTGTGCTTATTGTCTGTCTCTCTCAACTGGAATGCAGGTTCATGAGGGCAGACATTGTTGCCTCTTTTTTGTTCTGCTGTGACACCAGAGCCTAGACCTTACCTAGCACATACACGGTGCTCCTTAAATATTGCATGAATGAATGAATGAATGAATGGTGTGAGAGAAAAACTCCACCAGGAGTCAGAGAGGTAGGAGGGGAATGAAGAGAAGGTGGAGTTGTGGAAAGAGGGAAGGGCCTGAGTGGACCCCTGAGAGGGGCCAGGGTCCTGGCATGGCCCGGGACACAGAGCTGTGCTCATCTGCCTTCCCCAGACCCTTCCACCCATCTACTCACTGGGATCCCGCTGCAAGCAGTGCTCAGCTCTGCTTACCAGGCCCTGGACATGGCACCTCCAGCCCAAGTAGGTGGCCTGAATAGTGTCCTTTCCCCTTTGACAAGCTGCTTCCTTTCAGGGTCACGAAAGGCAGGACGTATCCTGCTGCTTAGGAAGTGCTCGAGGGCCTGGGAGGGCCTCTGGAGTGGGCAGGGGGCTGGGCATTTGCCATCTTGGCAGCTACCCTGCCCAGAGGCCAGGCAAGGGGCAGGAGCCAGGGCAGGTGCCAATGCACCAACAACCCCAACATGCACCCACTCCTCATTCATTCAACAATCTTTAAGTCGTTTGTTTGTTTGTTTGTTTGGCAGCTGACCGGTGAATATTCAACAATCTTAGTGAAAGCCTGTTGGCAATACAACTGTGAACAAGTCCCCACCCTTGTGGGTCTCACATTCCCACCAGCAGGGACTGATGGTTTGAGGGAGGCATGAGGGAGATTAGGATAGCAGGCTGCCACATACTGCGACACTCGCCTTCCTTCGGCTACTTTGCCCTGAGCCCGAACATACAGTGTGACGTTGGGCTTAGAGCAGCTTCAGAGACAGTGGGAACAGGCTGGACACTGTGAAGGGGCATGTGAGATGTCCCTTGTCCTCAAGGAGGGTACTGAGGACCATGGGTTTACCCAGGCTTTCCTCACCCCCCATCCCCTACCTCCCTCTCTTGGAAGCTGTTTCCATGGTCGACCATGTGCTGCCAGGAAGCTGTCAGTGGTTTCTAATGATTGGATGCAACACAGCTTCTCTCGAACCTGAGACACAGGTCCTGATTTCCAGCCCTTCCCACTCCCATGGGCCTCCTTCTTGACTGGGCTACATGCTTGACTTGGCCCCCTCCCTCCAAAAGCCCCTTCCTCTCCACAGCCTTCACTGTCACCGTCAGGCAGGATGGGGCAGGGGTAGGTGCTTGGGGCCAGGCTCTGTGCTCTCTGGTCCCCAGTCTTCAGATCTGCACCATGAGTGCTGGCCCAAGTTCTTTTGGTGTCCTCCAGGGCCTGTAACCTGTGAAGTTCCGGTTAGCACAGGAAGAGAGACTTGTTCTGAGTTGTCATCTGTGATGGTTTTATAACATGGCCCCAACATTCTTTGGCACTCTTCCCATTGAGACATGGGATCTATGTTCCTCTCCTCCTGAATCTGGGAGGGTTATGAGTGTTTCCATCAATAAATTACAGTGGAAGTGATGCTATGTGATCACGGAGGCTAAGTCATCAAAGGCCACACAGCTTTCGCCTGCTTCTCTGAGGACACTTGGCTCTGGTGTGAG